GAGGATATCTATACAAATGTTTACATCCAAAATTTGACTGTTACTTAACTTATTAGCAGTGGATATTAGCATAATCATCTGTTCAGATTAGAATGAGTGTTTGCAGAGTTTTGACAGTATTTTACACCATGAAGATTTTTCCTGCATCGTGTTAAGAAAGGATCAGATCACGAGTGCGTTTGCTAATCTCACCCTAACCAGAGGCTGCAGAATCATCTCTAACAGCCGTCTTACTGAAAAAGACATTACCCACGGCCTGCCATACCACACCGAAGGAGGATGGCGTAGCCAAGGCGCAGCGCCAGGGTGCTTCTTTGATTTACAACAGTAGCATTTCTGTGTAATGACAGTGAACTGAGTCAGTGTGGAAAAACTTAGGCATATTGTTAAAATTGTGCTTGTTTTTCTCAAGATTTTGCAGGCTGTGAATCATCAGTTTCGTAAATGGGTGATTCCTTAAACTTTCTTCTTTCATGCTCAGAATGTACTTGCAATAGCTTATTATGTTATGGTTTGCATTTTGTCGAGCTCCCTTTTATATCAAATTGGGCCGGATGTGGTTAATGAACTAAAATGAGTTTGACATCCCTGGATTAGACTAAAGGAACATTTTAAATCATGGTTACCATAAACAGTTTGACCAAACGGCAGCCAAGTAAATACTGTTAAACATAAAGTCTAAACGCATGTGAAAAGATTGCCCAAGGGCTCATTTAAGAGACATTTAGAAAGGCCTTGATAGTCAATTACAATCAGTTATTGGTAAACAAAAACAAAACAAAAAAAGATTCAAATTCGTGTTCAAGATTTGTGAGGTCTTCATGAGTTGTGCACAGTATCCCTGCATGTTTAGTCTTTCTAATGATTTTCAAACTTTCATCATTTCCCATCACACGCACATCTGGACTGAATTATGACACATTATAATTTCAAAACACTTTCAGTCATTAAAAAATAACAAATACTGAAAATTGCACACATTTGTGTGACCTCTGAGAGTTTGTAGATTATCTGTTGTGACATAACCAAAGCACTTAACTTCTCTCCAAATGAATGAGGTGCGTGAGTTATTAAATGTAGAACAGTTGGGTGCGCTGTACTACAGATCAGGTTGATTATTTTATATCACGGGCTGCTGTGGCTCAGGTGGTAGAGCAGGTTTTCTACTAAATGTGGCAGTTCTGTCCCCAGACGCGCCACATGTTGAAGTGTCCACAGGGAAGACGCTGACGCTCCAAATGGCAGGCCAGCACCTTATATTGCAGCTCAGTCACCAGTGATGTGGGTGTGAGTGGGTGGATGATGCAACAACAACATAAAGCACATAAAACGCTATGTTAGCACAGCACATTTATTGTGACTTCACTGTAATATTATTCAAATCAATAAAGGAAAATATTTCATGAATGATTTCACCCCCATTCTCTTTCAGTGCTTTATAGTATTAAAACTATATTGTGTTAGGAAGGAATCCTTAAAATCGCTCTGCCTCAGCAGTGTTCACACTTTGTTAGCACTTTGCTCTTCTCCTGAATCTACACAGGACGGCAGATTGTAGCGAAGCCTCCGTTAGCAGCAGGACGCTAAGAGACATGTTGAAGGAGCATCGCTGTGTTGTGCCTCGCCGTAACAGCTTGCTAATCAATAGAAACTAGCTACAAATTTCCATTCTGTCTGAGAGGAATGACGAACCGACAAAAGAAAAAAAAAAACCTGTTAATCCCAAAGAAACGTCTCACAAACAAACACGGTCAGGCAAAAGATAATTTGCTAATATTCAAGTTGAAGCAGTGAGAAGCAAAAATGTGACGCCGTCTGCAGGTTTGAATTTGCTCTTGTTATCCGCTCCCTCCTTCATGCTTCTCACTAATTTTCTATTTCTATGTAAATTCATCTCCCGCCTGACAGAAAGCTGCAGTGCACAGCACACGGGATTCGGCGTGGCAGCAAGCCTCTGTAATCGAGGCTGCCTCCACACAATGTTGCACGGCTTAAAACTGCAGCAAATGGGGGCTGGGGGTTAAAGGAGAAGTGTCAGACAGGGAAAATAATTAAATGGCCTTTTACATTCTTCTTTACCTTGTCTTCCTGCTCTTTTTTCCCCATCGTGCTCTACATGGAAAGCCAGAAAACAAAAAAATTGTGGCTCTGCTCATGTTTTATCTCAGATTGTTGAATCAATAATCCCCTTCCACCATCTCTTTCTCCTATTTTACTCCCCTGTCTTCATCAATGCCAACTCAGTGATGTTTTCCGCTCGCTGTCCTCCCATTTCTCCGACCTAACATCTCTCTTTCTGCACTTAATAAGCATTTTTCTCACTCAGACAGACCACAGATAGCAGTCCAGGCAGGGCATTCATTTATTTGCTAGGTGGCTGATGTGCAGCAGAAGTCCACAACATCTGCTGCAGGTTGTTTGTTTCTATTTCTGTTGTCTTGTGTGCACAAAAAGAGAAAATGATCACATATTGCAACAAGTTGCAGCAGAGGGCTTTTTCCATTATTGCTGTTGAATGCTGGCACGAGTCTCACACTTTCCTCTGGTCTGTTCTCAGTCAGCAAAGTGACGCTTTTATTGTGCACGGAGGTCAGCGCTGCGGCAGAGTGGGATGCGTCACTCACTGCCTGCGTCAGTGGAGCAGCAGTGAACCCTTCATATACGCAGTTCATTCAGACTTTAGCTCCCTGCAGACATCAGATCTGTTTGTGGCAGACAGCCCTCGTGTAAACCTTTTCATACAAAAGGGTTATTGTAGATTATCCACCAGTAAACTGAGGGCAAAAACAAATAGATAATTTTATCTTTTTGAGCGTTAATGTCATTTTGCACTTACCACCGATATGAACAACCAACAGTGTATATAAAGCAGAACAAGTAAGCTTGTTTTACAAAATGAACATGAATCACTTCAATCACCTGTCCCTGAAAAGTGGAAACGGCAAACTTTATAGCTAACTGCATAATGTCCTTGCCATAAACAGAATTTAACCTTAGAGCAAACCCAGAGAAATAACAGAGGGCAAATTCAGTGAAATGTGTTCACTTTTAGTCTGACTACTTGGCAAGCTTCTCTGTAACACCATAAGAGAGTTATTTTAGGTTTACAAGACTAAATCTCTATGTCCAACTTAAAAGGTCATACCTGTAATATCAAGAGAGCGGCATAAAAAAGCTAGAAAAAAAACAACTATGCAGCGAATCAGCGGATAGAAACTTAAAAAAAAGAATGTGTTGTTTTTGTCTCAAAATAACATTTAAAAACAGATTTCTCCCAGCAAGCTAGACTCCTATTACAGCTGTTCAACTCTATAAGGCATTAACGGCTTCATTAGTGGCTCAGTCTGCACTGTCCACATGTTCAGCGTCTCTGGCTCCTCCCAGCAGAGCACTTGAACAAGTTCCATTCCAAATCAGATACAATTAGCTACATGTTTACGAAGATAAAGAATAGGTGTTAGAATTGCCACCAGTTCTAACTTTCAGCCACATAGTTAAATGTTTTTTGTGGAAGGGGTGGAGCAATTGCCACGACTGCGCCTCCCGTAAATTTCACATTAACACCTACGACTATTTTAATCTGTTCATTCAGCAAAACATGAAGAAGAGAGAAGATGCAATTCCAGCAGATCAACAGATCTCAATGATGGCCCATATCAGCTGGTGGCTTCAGCTGATATCTTGCTTCCAGTTTGCAACTCTCACATGCAAGGCGGCTATTAAATTACTTTAGTTAGCCTACAGTTATTGCACCCTGCATGCTGCTTTGAAACCCACTTCAGTGTGGTGTCTGTCATCACTAACTCCTGCTCCAGCCTGTGAGTAAGGGGTTTGCTGCTGCTTTTTCCTCCTCTGGCTCTCTTTTTATGATTGTGGACACACAGGGAGGTCCCAGAGCAAAGCCGTAATGCCAGATATGAAGTACTGCAGATGAAAATAATCAATCATCTTTTGGCTATAGTGGTCCTGGCTGAAATGGTCTCCAGCTGTTAAGAAATGCACTGTGAATCAATTCTCTTTTAACTGTGAAAGACTAAATGAAGTGCGTTAAGTTCATTCATCGACTGGCGAGCATTACTGTTCTGTTCATTTCTGTATGCATATAAGTTAAATATGCTGCGCCGTGTTTGGGTGTGAGGAGAGTGTGTACATATGTGTGTCTCACTCCCTTTCACTACCCTTTGAATGCTGGAGCTGTGTTTCCATGGCAACGCTGACCCCTGGGAGTCAATGTTATTTTTTTTCCACACAAGTAGCCTCTTTGCAATCCCTCTCTCTCTCTCCCTCTCTCTCATCCATTCTTCCCTCCCACTCTTCATCTCCTGTTCTCTCACCAACTCGCATTGCGTCTCTCTCTTCTTTTGCTATTGTGTACCAAAGTAATAAAGAAAAAAAACACTCTTTACTCATTATCTGCTCCTGCACAGTCCATTTTATTCAGTGGCTGTGTCAGCTCTTTCTCCTTTCAGGACATCTTTACACTGTTGACACACATTCACGCACAAACACAGCGCATCAGAAACTCTCCTTCTTCTTCTCTGTATTCAGACATCGTTCAGTCTCAGTTCATCTCTTCTTTGGATCTCTTTGTCTCCCGTCCTTTATAAGGACACCTCTAAAGACAGCTCCCACTGTTTTGCATCTCGCAAACAGGAGCCTTCATCGTCCGTTGTATAATGTCGTCTTCATTTTATAATTCCACTGAAGTCAAGATGGGATGTTATCATGCATGTGTAATCGTAACTTCACAGGTGAGACATCGCCTCGTTTCCCTCTCTGCTGAACATGAACAGTGTAAAACATCAGGAACACTGTAACACTGATAAACACATTTGTGTAGAAAGACTGACTTTATACTTCTCTTTGGGATTGTAGTGGAATTAATTGCCTGATTAATAAAGAAACAAATCTATCACTTATATTTCTGCTGGGTAAATGTACTTTAAAACTTCGATAACTAAGTAATAACCTATCTCTTTTTTTGCCCAACCTCCCACCAGGCCAAGCTGATCGTCCCCAACAGTACAGCAGGATTGATCATTGGTAAAGGCGGAGCTACAGTCAAGGCAGTGATGGAACAGTCTGGGGCGTGGGTCCAGCTATCCCAGAAGCCAGAAGGTATCAACCTGCAGGAGCGTGTGGTCACCATCAGCGGCGAGCCCGAACAGAACCGGAAAGCAGTGGAGATCATTGTCCAGAAGATCCAGGAGGACCCGCAGAGCTCCTCGTGCCTCAACATCTCCTACTCCAACATCACAGGGCCAGTCGCCAACTCCAACCCCACCGGCTCACCGTACGCCAACTCAACCGAGGTCATGCCAGCTGCCGCAGCCGCTGCCGCGGCTACGGCTTCTTCTCTGCTCGGCCAGGCAGGCCTGGCTGGGGTTGGAGCCTTCCCAACCACTATGTCCAGCCTATCAGGCAACGACTTGCTCGCCATCACTTCTGCCCTCAACACTCTGGCCAGCTATGGTTATAACACCAACTCTCTGGGCCTGGGGCTCAACCCTGCTGCTGCTTCAGGGGTTCTAGCCGCAGTAGCGGCTAATGCAAATCCAGCAGCAGCTGCTGCAGCTAATTTGTTAGCATCCTATGCCAGCGATGCATCCACCAGCGCTGCTCACCCTGCAGCCAGTCTTGGAGGCTTCTCTCTGGGATCCCTAGCTGCTGCTACAGGGGCCACCAATGGTTACTTAAGCGCTGCTTCACCACTTGTGGCATCATCTCTACTTGCCACAGAGAAGCTAGCAGAAGGAGCAAAGGAAGTGGTTGAGATCGCTGTGCCAGAAAACCTAGTGGGAGCCATTCTGGGGAAAGGAGGGAAGACGCTAGTGGAGTACCAGGAGCTGACCGGCGCCAGGATCCAGATCTCCAAGAAGGGCGAGTTCATTCCTGGAACTCGGAACAGGAAGGTGACCATCACAGGTTCCCAGGCCGCCACACAGGCTGCACAGTACCTGATCAGCCAGCGAATCACCTACGAGCAGGGGGTACGCGCCACCAACCCACAGAAGGTGGGCTAAACCTGACAGCCGATGAGAAACGAGGAGGAAAAGAGGAAAAAAAAAGAGTGGGGGCTTGGGGGAGGAGTATAAAAAAAAGTGAGAATGGAAAAAGGAGAGGAGAGCAAGAATGTCGGAAGGAATCGTTCGCACCGTTTTCTTCTGCGTGTTTTCAGTATTCTCTATTAAAAAAAATTTTTTTGACGCAAAGCAAAAATGTGCTGAGAAGACGAGGAGGGAGAGGAGCGAGTTATTACGCTGAAAAACCAAGAAAAAAATGTGCAAAATGTAAATAAGGTTTTATTACTTAACGTCTTGACCTTTTGGGATTTTTTATTGTTTTGTTTATTGTTTTATTGTTTTGTTTCGTTTAGTAAATTAAGCTGTCTGTTTGTTTGTGTATTGTGTGGACAGAGCTGAATGCCATGTAGACAGGCCGACTGCCTGAGAGGCTACAGGAAGTGGGGGGATGGAGGGAAGGGCATGGGTGCGGCAAGGCGGAGGGTTGGGGTTTACAGGGTTCAGCCCTCCACCGCCCCCGAACCCATTACGGAAACAACCCTTAGCCCTCCCTCCCCCTGCAGGCCACACCCATCACCCTCCAGTAGGGTTTTTGTTTTTTCTTCTAGGAGATTTACCCCAAACCCCTCGCCCCACCTCCCTTGAATGCCCCTCTCACTTTTTGCTCCCCTGACCCGCCCCTCTCCCTTTTACAAGGGTTTTATAACAAACAAGACTGCAAACCTCAGCCTGGTGTGCGAGAGAAGAAATGCCCTTGACTCCTCCCCCACCGCCGACACCTTCTATTACTTCACCCGCATATGATCGTACCTCCCTCCTCGTCCCCTCGTCTGGGAGATGAAGGGTGAGGTGAAATTGGGCAGAGGTGCGGGGAAAGAGAATCAACCGGGCACTTTTTTTTCTTTTGCACACCTTCCCATACCTGTGATGTATCCCACAAGCAGTGCAGCGCTGCAGGGGTGTTACAGCATGTGACGCCCACCCCCACGTGTGGCTCTAACGTCTCAGATAGAAAGGCGAAGCGCACGCCGATGACCTCACATAGTGAAAAACCCATAAACGACAAGAGCGATACAGCGCAGGCTGCGGCAAACACACAGGATCTATGGCATTTTTTGCAGTCTGCTGTGATAATTCTATTAACTATATTGTCGATATAGGAATCATTACCTTCGTCATTATTTATTAATGAGTTCACCCATATAAGGCTCAGTTGTGTTTTTTTTTTTTAATCTGTGAATTCAGGTTGACATGAATGTAAATGAGACTATTTTTGATTTGATTCTTTTGTTTTAATTTAAGTGGATTGAAGATGAATAGTAATGTCACATAGTGTAATATATGTCTTATTTAAGTCCAGTAAGAAAGCCACCCCAGGCATTAGGATCATTACAGTGAAGGATCACCTTATATATCCAGTCAAAGAAAAGAACAGGGAACACACACAGACACGCACACGTTTTCACACTGAAACAGAACATTATGATGCCATATTTGGTGCTAGAAAAGGGAAATCACCATATCTATGATGCAGACTGCAGTAAGACTTCTAGATTAGCAAGAAAAGCTCTAAACCTCTCGTACCACAGGCTGCAGTGCAGCTGAATTAACCTACCTGGTTATCATGCTTAGCTCCTAGCTCATGCTGCAAAAGATCACTGCTGTTTATATGCCCTGTTGCAGTTTGCCTGCATTGTAAAGTTGTAACTAAAATGAATAATCCAGTTGAACTGAAACTAATTCTCGGATAAACTGCTGCTCGGCCTGTGGACACCCGAACCCTTCGGATGAACCCAAACCACAGACTAGATAGAGTGAGAGCAATTAAGACTAACAAGATACTACTGAGAAATGCAAACATTTAGTCGGAGGTAACACTGAAACGTGACAAAGGAACGTCGTTTATCTGGGGTCCACTGCTGAATCTGCAAGCCTCGCTAGTAGATTTGCTTTTTTACGGCAGCGTGCATATCAGTAATGGAGATAAATAGGCTCACTGACCTTTGCTCTTATCACGCATCCGTCCAACTGCCAATGAGATGAAGGGCAGATGAGAGATTTTTAACATATGTCCTGGGAGCTGAGCTCATTTCTGCCTCTGGCAAGCTGTAGGTCTCCCTCGGAAACGGATTTACTGCCCACTGTAGACCCAGGAGGCTGCTGAAGATGCTGTTGTTTCTTCTGTTGTTGAGTTTTTTTTGTTTGTGTCGTGTTATTTTTGTCTGTTTTTTTTAACAATCGGAGTACACTGAATTTTTTTTGTCTTAATGCACTGTGAAGCGAGGGAGAGTTTCTCTCGACCTATGAGGTCAGGGATGTGTGCTATAGATGGCATCGTTGACTGGATGGTTTTTTGTATGGCAGGGAAAAAAACACGCATATATGAAATATATGTAGAATGCATATGAAGAACTTCACCGGAAATGCACATCATATCTGAATATTGACGGAGGTGAAAGAGACTAGGTCGATGAAGAGGATCAATCAATTGAGGTCAATTAGATCCTACTTACCTGTTATCTTGGAAAAGTGTTTCGTAATTAGGGGGCAGGATGTTGGGGAGTGTTAGGTGTCCAGTAGTAGATTAAAGAGACTGGAACAAATTCTAAATTCAATATCCTATCGCAGCTGTGTCTTTCTCACGTACTGCACATCCAACAGGCAAGTCCCTGGACAGAGATTTAATTCTAACAGTAGCTGAAGTATGACGGAATGTAAAAGGCCAAAAATGAGGAGGGGGTGCATTTGATTTATTGACCTAAAAGCCTGGTGAGGGGAGGGAACACCTCTAAGACTAAACAAACAGACCTTTTGATTCTTTTGAAACCAATCCGACCCAAAATCCTCCACTGTGCTTTTGAATGTGTCACTCTCTGTTGGAGCGCCAGTGAGGGTTTATCTCCACAGCTTGGTAAGGAGGCTTCTTTACTCCCATCTAACACCATCCACACTCTCCTCACCCTCCCACCCGTCCTCAGTTTTCCAGTGCACTCCCATCCTGACACCCCCTCTCCTCCTACCACATCGCTCCATGGGTGACTATGTCTGGTGTTACGATCAATGCATGTCTGCTGCTTGCCCCGACAAACGCCACAGATTGAGCCTCTTCTCTCTTTGCCTCCTCGGGCAGCTGAGGCTCGGGCCACCAAATGCGACACTATCAGAAAACAACCACGCCCGAAGAGGAAGTCATAGCTGGCAGGGCACAGTGCATAAACACTCTTATTTGTAGTTTGTACTTCATAACAGTGACGAGATACATTACTAGCTTGGAAAACATTGCACAAACACACACATATTTCGAGGGAATAATTTCTCTTTGATAGGGTTTGACTGGATTTTATTGCAAAACCTCATAAAAGATCACAGGAAGCCAGTGTGCTTTTGCTCTGCTATGGAAATATACTGTGCTGAATGCATTCAGTAGGCTGATTTCCATTTCATTTAGAGTAAGATTTGCCTTTTTTCTGCAGGTAGACTCATTTATGGACTTAATATCTATTGAGCAATTTTGGAAAATAATTTTAGGTTTGTTGGTCAGACAAAACAAGCAATTTGTCACATGTAGTTGTTTAGCGGAAACAATAATTACTCAGGTAATTTAAAGATTTTGAATGCTAATTAATTGAAAGTCATGTGGCCGTGTTTCCTCCCCCTGCTTTGGAAAGCGTGCATGCAGCACAGTATGTTTACAGTGGCAAAACTGCACTGAAATTTCTTATATAGGTGCCATTTGATTTAATACTTTAATTCTTTTTTATCTTATTAATTAAACCTTAGGATGACTGTCTTTTACACAGCAGCTAATCTCTTTAGTTATCATAACGTTAGGGGATTGAGATAAAATGTGACAAGTACTAGAAGCAATACATGTTGTGTCGTCCCGTCCCTTATCCTCTGTGTGCCGTAGGAGCTTTTGGATTTACCTGTAGATGTTGGATAGGTTTACACGAGTAATTTTTTTTTCAATTTGTGGAAGATGCTGCTATTTAATAATAATAACAAGAAAAAAAATACAAGGTAAAAACATATCGAAATCTGTCCTTTAGCTGGAGAGGCTAGTTGCAAGCAGTGTAATACACGCTCTGTTATAAGCTGACAATAAGTTAATAAGAGCATAATTTTAACCTGAACAAGTAAAACCTGTGCCAAAACAGAACTGTAAATGTGTTGATTTAAATCACATTAGGTAAGAGGAGACATACTTTTATATTAAGAAAATGTGAAAAGTGCCAAATGAACCATATTTATAAATCAATACATAGGGGGTCAGTTTTTGAGAACTAGGTACACTAACAGACAAAGCGCTTCAGTATAGCAGTTTGTTCAATCCCTCTTCACTCCTGCCACAAGACGAGGGACCGCCATGTTAGCCAAGTGTTAGCCTGTCCTCTGGGAACTACTCTTCCCAGGATGCAACAGCACTATGACTCTGGGGCTAGAGTATCAATATAGTGATAGGTTAGCATAATAATGCTAAAAAAAAATGTGACTAGATAGCATTCTTAAACACAGCCTTTTATAGTTACGATGAAGATGTATTTTGTGGAAATAGATGTTATCTTTTTTGCACGTCTATATTGCATGATATCAAAGTGAAGCGTGGACAAAAAAAAAAAATCAAAGAAACAAAAAAAAGAAAAACCATTTAGGAAGTGTGTGTTGTTCATTTTTCGGAGACAAATCTTTGCATGCCGATAAGGGTAGAGCATTTTGGTATTGTTTTACACGCGTTCAGATGTTCGTTGTTTTTCGATGCAGTCGCGTCAAGTCCCGGTCCACCTGCTGCAGGTGAAGACGATGTTTGATTTCGATGTCACGACCGAGTGAGTATTTTGTCGCTAAGCTGTCTAACCTTCCTCAGAGGGATACGAACAAAACTCTCGAACAAACCTAAGACTATTTTGCTACTTGTTGAGCGAGCTTGGACTAAACGCTTCTCAGTTCCTACTTAACTTTCGAACAATTTTTTGAAGAAAAAAAAAATCTGGATTTATTTTCAAATAATAGACTGAGATTGTCCATGAATGTACTCACCTCTCCATAAGTTTGCATATCACTCTTCTGACCACTGGCGTGCAGTAGAGGCTTACATGTGTTTTAGTGTGTCTCTGTAATCTAACCTTACTAACCCCTCGACGCACTCTGTCAGGCTCTCAGTATTAATATGTTGTCTGTCCTTTAAGCCCCCACGCTCTGAGCTCTGGCTTGTCTTGTCATTGAATTGCACCTTATTGACCTCAAATATGACATGGAGCATCTCTGGTCCCGCCCCTCGTGGTCGCGAGTGACTCGTAAAGAGAGACAGTGTGTGAGAAAGAGGTGAAAGATCCCCTCCCTTACTTTTAAATCCAAAATAACGCACAGACACACTATGCTGTGTGCTGCACCGCCTGCCTCCCTCGGGTGACTCGCTGCAGAATTTGGGACAGATTGTGTTTTCACTCCCTTAACATGCAATCCAAGGCTCTGATCTCGGGGAGAGAGAGAAAAAACAGCACTGAACATTGCCAGTGTGGGTTTTGAATCCTGATCCCCCTCCTCCCCTCTCTCTCTGTCTCTCTCTGTCCTAAGTTTCCCAGTTCAGTTTAATTAGATGCTATTGGCTTCGGTGTCAAATTTTTTTGTTTTTTTGCCAAAGTCTCTCTCCGGATTTGCAGTGCGGTCATGCTTCGTATACTGACAGATGTTGTCATGGGAAGTGGCCCGCTGTTCACAAAACTAACTGAGATGGGGAAACGATCGGGATTTCCATTATTGCTCCTCAGTGACACGTTTGCACTAAACCTTCTGCTGTTACAGTGCACGGCACGCCGAGCTGAGGTGGGGGTCAGTGTGCGAGACTACTGTAGATGGTAGCCTTACTGTAGGTGTTCATTCAGCATTGTATTTAGATGTGCATGCTCCTCTCTCTCTCCCGCCCTCTGAGTTTGTCTGCTTTAGGCCCGCTCCGTGGTGTCTGTGTTGCGGCGTAGCCGGCTAGCCATGTTTTATTCATGTCTTATTTTTGTTGGCTTTTGTTTTTACTGTAACGTGTAGAGGAATGCAAACTCAATTCTAACCTGCTCGCCAGGTGACCTCATTGCTTCTCAGTGGGTGTGTGGCTCTCCGACATAGTCCCCAGCTCTTGTTCTCTGCCCCCCGCCTACCCTCCACCGCCACGCCTACCTCCACAAACCCACTCTCACCCACACCCACCACCTTTTCAAAACAACATCTAAGACATCTTTTGGGACCCCGCTCCCCACCCCCTTTTCCACCCTTCTTCCTCCCCCAACTCGGGCCCCATCGAAGCACCAGCAACTGTAGACTGCATTTGTCATATCACTGTTTTTCTGTTCCTTCTCTCGTTTCTCTGTTTATTTTTTTCCTGGTTTTGATTTGTACTGTATGCTCTAACCCAAACCAGTTTTAACAAAATGCCATTTTCTGTATGTAGCCTGTTTACCCTACTCCACCCCCCACCCCCCCTACACACACACACACACACACACACACAAACACAATATCCTCCATGCCCTCTTTTTTTGCACTTTCACTGCCCACTCCTCCTCCTCGCCCAAACATACACACACTTTCCTCCTCCGCCTCCCACGAGTCTCTTCTCTCGAGTGCCAAAATAGAACAGAGAGGAAAAAAAAGCAAAACAAAACAAAAAAAAAGACAACAACAACAACTACTACTACCATTCCAAGCGTTTCTTTGAGTTGTTCTTGTGTGTCGGACATCCATCCTGGAAGCACCCATGAAGCCAGCATGCTCCGCCCTCATAACATGATGTCGCTCATGACGCCTCAACTGAACAGCACCTTGCCCCCCACCACCACCACCACCTCCTCCTCCTCCTCCTCCTCCTCACCACCCCCACAGAGCTAAACCCGACAAGGATTAACCCTTCTGCAGGTTGGCTACCTACCTACTGTCCTGCCTCTCAACCTACCTTAAAAAAAAAGCCCTACCGCTCATGCCAGCTGCTTTCCTAATTCTGTCATTTCTTCAGCCTGTGGGACTTCATTGATTGTGTGCCATAGTGTTGGGGGCACCTTTCACTCTCCTCACCTCCCCCTTCTTTCTATACCCCCACCCCACCTTTCTCTCTCTCTCTCTCTATAACCCCTCTCGCTCTCGCTCCATTTGATTTTTCTCGATGGGAAAGATTAAAAAAAACCTCCATTTTCTAATGATGATTTTTTTTGTTGTTGTTTAACATCCAAACCACGCACGC